CTAGAAAGAAGAATATAGGATAAAGAGTCATCATTTAAGATAAGTCTTTAAAGCAGCATGGGGGGGTGACTTTAATGTCAATTTAAGGTGATAAAATAGCAACACATTGATTTACATTACACAAACACCTTTTTTTCTAACTAAAGTTATAAAGATATTTAAAAAAGAAAATAAATCAAGGGTATACAATTTCATGTATTAACTGGACAATTAGAGTATTTCTACCATTTAGTGACCAGAGCAATTTTTTGCTTCTGCAATGTGTTGCTTTTTTAGTCTGTCCTAAAAAAATATTCAGTGTGTTGGGAAATTTAAAGTACATCTGTAATGTGAATAAAATAATAAATTTGCCCTAATGTGTGAATCCTGGACAACAAGAGTTGTCTACACATACCACTACTTATCATTTTGAGCACTCCTGATCCTAACATGCTCAATATGCAAATCTCACCTTTTAGAACCAAATGGCAGAACCCTGCCTCCCTTCTGCTTAGAGAGAGTAAGCTCATTGTATTGGAGAATGTGGGGGCCTGGCAGAGCTTAATGGTCATCGATTATGTTCATCCATTATGTTCATCCATACTGTGTACCCTAATTTGGGGTCCTGCCTTTCACGCCCTAGGTAATCTGTTTTATTCTCATACGGATTCTCTTTTGATAGCACCCATTTATTTGTGTGCTTCATGTAACACAAGAAGCCAGAATTTACACAATCCTACCACAGTAATGTATGCAGCCATTGAATGACACCCATATGCAAAGTCTATGTCACCTCCAGCTTGCTCATTGGACAATGAATGAGTACCACTTTACTGACAATGGCCTCTTTGCGATTTCTCTTGCCTGAAAACCCACCAAGTATCTATTTTCCCTGTCACCTGCCTAAAACATGATAGGATGATAGTGCTCTGCAATGCAATATTGCTCAAGTGCCTTGCAATTCATGCAGTCCAACTCTCATTCAGAGTTAAAAACAAAACACTCTGAGGGGAATTTATCAAAATTGGAGCAGCCAAACACTGGAGCATCTGTGCATGGCAACCAATCACAGTCTCTGTTTCATTTTTAAATCTTAAATTAACAAACTGAAGAGAGAAGCTGGTTGGTTGCCATTCACAGCTGCTCCAGTTTTTGTCTGCTCCAGTTTTGATAAATTCCCCCCTGTATTTAAAGTGACACTAAACTCAGCAGTTACATCTTAAAAATGCATTCAATAATCTAGGCACTGGGACAACAGTCTCCTCAACAACTCCCACCCCCGATTGTTCTGCAGAGCACCCTTTTCTCTTTTTCTATGGCACTGGGTGGATCCTAAATGCTGCAAAGAGCAGCACTACATAGGGAGTCTGTGAGTCTTATGCAGGAAGTGGATCATTGATGCCCAGGGCTCACAGGAAGTAGATTAAATGATGCTGGGTGTCAATTAACCCAAAAACATTGCTAAACTGGTGAACAGATGAGTCTGTGGGAAACAGTACTGGAGATAGGATGAGTTTAGCATGTATCAATGCAATTAATGCAATTAGAGTACAAGCTAGAAGTAGTAATAAATGCTAGGCATTTTTTTTTGTGCATTAAGATTTGATTGAATAAAAAAAAGAAAAAAACATAACAGGATGAAAAAACTCAGCATCTCCCAATAATATAGATAAAAAAAGTTGTAACCTAAGGATTAAGTAAACAGTCCCAGATCTCAGGGAAGTAGATTTAACAACCAGACGAATATATAAGAAAAAGAAAGAGAAAAATAGAGAAATAGAGGAAAGAGAGAAAAAGGGAGAGTGGAAAAAAGAGAAAGCGATACAGAGAGGAGTCCGAACCATAAAAAAAAAACGTGTTCACAGAGTACAGACGTAAATGTAGATCACTAAGGAGCCAATGACAGCAGGTTAAGATAATCAGCAGTGGTTTGAAAGTCTAACCAACAGGCTCGTATAGTATGACATTTTTCGTATTGGTCTTTGGATGTAGAAATCAACTCCTCTACAAGGCACACCACATCTATTTTCCTCAACCATAAATACAAAGGAGGAGAAGCTACCTATCTTCAATATAGAGACATTAACGATTTTGCCGTATTGAGTAAATGGAGGGGTAAGGGACCTCTTATATCGGCCTATTGGTTCATCAGTACAATGAAACGGCATACACCATGGCTCAGATTTTACGGTAAAGCCCAGTATCTTTTCAATATAATTGGCCACTTGACGCCAGTAAGCCTAAATGATAGGGCAAAACCACTAGATGTGTGCCAACGTGCCTTGATGGCCACAACACCTTCAACACATAGGAGAGAGATCATTGCAGATGGCATGCAATCTGGTTGGAGACCGATACCACCGAGAAAGTAATGTATAATTTCAACTCTTCCATGACACAAGCTGTGGGAGATACGTGGACTAAAGTCATGACCGTTGTTTTTTGTTCATCAGAAAGAGGGCAACCTAAATCAGTTTCCTATTTAGACAGGAAAAAGGTTCCATACCCATCATTTCCACTTATAGTATAGCTTCCAAAGGACTTTACTCTTTTAAAGAACGAAGAGGACTAGGCAAAGAGGCAATACAATGCTGAAGTTGTGCATATCTCCATCGATCCATGAGAGTTAAGGTAGATGGGTCCTTAATATCCTCCAGAGGTTTAGGCATAGCACCCCGAAGCACATGGCATAATTGTATAGGCTTTTAAGAATGCTAGGATTGAAACAATGAATGCCATTTACCAGGTAAAAAATATGAATGGCCTAGCAATGATAAAGGAGGCGAGTCAAATCGGCAACCAAGTTTATCCCAAACAGCTAGGGTTGATGATAGTAACAAAAACGAGGCATTAGATGAGAGGTTCTGTAATAGTCTTGGGATCCAAATCATAGTGTTCAACTCAGTGCAACTCAACGTGTATTCCAAAGACACCCATTATTTAGTCTGTCGTGCATAAACCCAGTCAATGACTCGGGTGAAAGTATAGCAGCGTGATAATGCTTTAAAATTTGGAAAAGCTAAGCCTCCACCAATCTTGGAGCGTGCTAGCACAAGAACAGAAACTCTCAGTTTACAACTATTCCATACATGTTTTGCAACTACTGACTGAAGTATCCAAAAGTAGGCAGGTGGGACCCCAAACGGGAGCATCTGATACAAGATAAGCATCCTAGGCAAGATATCCATCTTGATGATGTTTATCCTTCCCAGCAAGGAATGACAAAGTGCGCAAGTCACCACTAATGGCATTCAATAAAGGAATATAACTTACCCTAAACAGCGAAGAGGGATTTGACGTGATAAAAATTCCCAAGTACTTCAAAGGTGAATGATTCTATTCAAACAGGAAATATGGCTGTAATGAGCGCACCTCAGTCATAGGGACAATAAGATTACAAATTTCGGATTTTGCAGGATTTATTTTAAAATTAGACAAAACCCCAGAAGTAGAGTGGGCTTGTAGTAAGTTTGGGAGGGAGACACTGAACTGCTGTATGTAAAACAAAATGTCATCCAGCTAGGCATTCTTTTTACCTTAATGCAGTCTCCCCAGCACATTTATTGCCAGGCGGAGCTTCAGGATGCCAAGCGGAGGATTAGCGAATATGTAAAATACTTGTGGATCCTTCCCTGTGCAGAACAAATACCAGTGATCAGCACTGATCACTGGTATTTGTAAATAACTGAGCACATAGTAAGCTATGTCTACAGTTATGAAAAAACAGAAATGCATGCATCACTTCCTGTTCATTCATAAGTTGTCACATAGTAAGCTCACTATGTGCTCAGTTTATGAATGCACAGGAGCCCTCAGTACAGAGACTTCTTCTCCATTCATAGCCGGGGAGAGTACTATGCCTCCTCAGTTTGTGAATGAACAAGAAGCATCTGTACTCAATGCTCCTGTCCATTCATAACAGAAGCTGCAGAAAAAAGGAGATTTTGTCCCCAATCTCTTTTTCTATTTTAAAAGGGAAATCTCAGGGGTCTGTTTAGACCCCCTGATATGTCCCAGAAGCCCCCTGACAGTATATAAAAATTAAAAGTTAAAGAAATAAAACACAGACAAGTGTGCACTGATACTGATTTCAGTTTGTTTTTATTGATTTAATTGTGTCTTTTTATCACTTTAATATTGATTTGATAAACATTTGTGCAATTATCATAGGACCTACAAAATCAGTCGCACCACTTTTAATTCTACCAGTCTTGTGCTTTCAGGTAATGTATGGTTTGGGGGGTCTTTTACAAACTCTAAAAGCAGCAGTTGAAAATAGAAACAAAAAGGTGAAAAATTGCAAAAATGGTCTGGCCATTGAGATCAAAAGTTGAACTCAGGGCTTGGCAGTGAAAGAGTTAATGCTTTAAGTGTTTGGGTTTACATAAAATACATAACTGGGCTGAATTGTGTTTTTTTTTCTTTTAATTTGCTTGGTGTTGTGCTTTATCTGCGGTTGCTCGATTGCATTGTTGTGCCAAATTACTCTATAGTCTCAGTTTGTTTCAGCTATTCAGCTATGTTTGTTACCTCACAGAATAGCATCACAAACACCAAATGCATCCTTTATCATGTCCCACATGTTCATGTTTAGCTTTAACTTTAGACCTGATTTTCTCACTAGTGAATAAAAAATAAATGCACAGTCTTTAGATGTTAATGGGTAATTTAATGTGTGCTGGCAGTTAATAGTAATGAACTAATTTTCCACTAGGCAGGTGGAACAAAATAAACCCCATGCACCACATTAAGACTGACCTGTTTCTCGGTTTGTGATGTTATTCCATCCTATTACATGTTTGTAAGAAAACAAAAGCACAGTATGATTTTCCATCCCCAGCTGTCTGTAGCTGTGACTATTAGGTAATTAGTTTATGACCTCCTGGGGCAATTTTTCCTCTGCAGTTTGTGTTTTATTTGGTTTTGAAAAGTTTATTACTGTTTTATTGTTTGATTCAAAAGAATTGGATGGTTTGAAAAATATTATAAACCAGTAATTTGATGGCTTTTTTATGTTTCAGGTGACGCTAAGTATATTCGAACTGGCAACATCAGCAGGTATCACATGTGATGTGGACCCTCATCTGGTGGCAGCGCTAGCAAACATGAAAATAGGTAAAAATATTAGCATAGCAGGCTGTAAAATGCAAGCATGTAAACTGTTTGAGGAGAGCCTGAACTGTAGAAGCTGTGCCCCAAAAAGGCAATCAGAGGACAAAGAATAAGTTCACAGTATTGCTTGTAGGCTTTGTGCTGTTGACAGAACAGTGAGCAACACAGTAGTAACATCCTTAAATCTCACTCCAAATCATATGAGACTAGCCGTCAGAGGCAGCAGTGCCTTAGATGGTTCCAGTGCAGATATACAGCTATAAGGCTGTTGGCACAGAAGTGCCTAGGTGGGGTCACATGCCAGGCAATGCTTTGGTGCAGAGGCAATAACATGACTAAGTGAGGAGTGCACTATGTGTAGGCCTTTCTTACTATAGAAGTGGAGAAATGGAAAAGGTGTGTGCCCAAAGCACCCAATCTTTTTCTAGCTGTTATTTTCTCATGCAGAAACGACACCTTTCCTTTGCACATTCAGATCTATGATGAAAAGTTTAGTAGGAACTGCAAATCTCTCATTATTTTCTATGATGACTTGTAGCTGGGCAATAAAATTGCTGGGATAGCTAGAAAATAGCTGTTCCATTGACTGCTGTTCAATTTCCCTAGCTACCGGGATCCATTAACCCCTTCATGACTGAGGCCCTTTTTTCAATTTTTGCACCCATGTTATATTCCACATTTTAGGCCTGATTCAGTTTTGAAGCTAATTTCTGTATTTACCATATACATTTCTCCCAAAAACATCATATTAAAATTATAATTTGCCAAGGTCCTTCCTTATGGGATGTATCAAAGACCTTGTTTTAAAGACACACAATGACATATAAGATACAGGTCTTGGTATATGAAGAAAGGTAAAAGGGGAGAATATACAGATCACTGAGAAAAACTGATGGTGGCAAACCTGTTGAGATTTTCTCAACCCCTTCCCATCCGCCGTCGGTATCTAAACATTTTCCCAAAAAGTGCTCGGTGTAGGGAGCACATTTTTGTATGTTTAATATTTGCAGATACAACATCCTTTGCAGATCCTTCTGATCTGACCTAGAACGCCTCATCTACAGCTGCCTAAGTCACCAATTTGCTGATCACAACCTTCTTGACCCCTTAAAATCGGGCTTTCGCCCCCTACACTCCACTGAAACCGCCCTCTTAAAACTCACTAATGACCTACTCACTGCTAAAAGCAAAGGCCACTATTCCCTACTCTTGCTATTAGATCTTTCTGCTGCTTTTGACACTGTTGACCACCTGCTCCTCCTCAAAAAACTCCAGTCACTTGGGCTACAAGACTCTGCTCTCTCGTGGTTCTCCTCCTACCTATCTAAGCGCTCCTTTTAGCGTCACCTACAATTCTAAATCCTCCCCTCCTCTTCCTCTTTCTGTAGGGGTCCCCCAAGGCTCTGTCCTTGGACCCCTTCTCTGTCCTCTCGTGTCACTAATCTACTATCCGACATATCCATCTGGATGTCGCAACACTTCTTAAAACTGAGCTCTTGCTATTTCCTCCTGCCCGTGCACCTTCCCCCAACTTCTCCCTTGAGATTGTTAACACAACTATCCACCCCTCTTCCCGTGCCAAGGTCCTAGGTGTCATCCTTGACTCGGACCTCACCTTTCTTCCCCACATGCAATCACTATCCAAATCCTGCCGCCTTCACCTTCGTGACATCTCCAAAATACTCCCCTTCCTCACCAAAGAAACCACAAAATTACTCTTCCACTCCCTTGTTATATCTCGTCTTGACTATTGCAACTCCCTCCTCATTGGCCTTCCACTACACAGGCTATCCCCCCTTCAGTCTATCATGAATGCAGATGCCAGACTCATTCACCTAACCAACCCCTCAGTGTCTGCAAACCCCCTCTGTCAATCCCTCCACTGGCTTCCACTCGCCCAAAGGATACATTTCAAAATATTAACAATCAGTTACAAAGCCATCCACAACTCTGCACCCGGCTATATCTCAAACCTGGTCTCAAAGTATCACCCCAACCGTCGGCTCCGCTCATCCCAAGACCTCCTGCTTTCCAGCTCCCTTGTTAACTCCTCCCATGCTCGCCTCCAGGTCTCCTCTAGAGTCTCTCCCATCCTCTGGAATTCTTTACCCCAACCTGTCTGTCTGTCGCCCACCTTGACTGCCTTTAGGCATTCCCTAAAGACTCATCTCTTCAGGGAAGCCTATCCCACCTCAATCTAACCGCTCAACCATCACGCTCTCAAACAATTCCTCCCCACACAGCTACCTCCTCATGTATCACTTGCCCCTCCCTTTTAGATTGTAAGCCCTCAGGGGCAGGGCCCTCCTTACCATCTTGTCTTGATTTGTATTGTGATTGTAATGTCTTCCCTATATTGTAAAGCACTGCACAAACTGTTGGCGCTATATAAATCCTGTATAATAATAATAATCTCCCTGTTGGGAGCTGCAAGTTTACTTTCACAGTAGAAAGTGATCCTGTGTTCAGGACTGAGAGCAGATGGAGGAGGACAAAAATGCCTGTTCTTAACCTCCTCTTTCTCAGACAGAACCTGGAAGTGCTCAGCTCTAAACACTTCAGAGATGTCTTAATAATAATGGCAGACAAGACATCAAGAGTCTAATAAGCCCCTGATGTTTGCATATTTAGAGACTTACTGCAGATTTGTTGCTGCTTAAAATGCTTGTGTGACATAACACTTATATAAAGCCTATGTTAAACTGGCAACACATGTTACAAACTGTACAATCTTTGTTCAAATTCCTTTAGATTTACCAAAACTATGTAATATGAGATATCTGTAAAAAATAAGTCAAGGCAACTGGCCTTGCAGTATTTTTCTTGAAGACGTTTCACTGGTCATCCAACCAGCTTTCTCAATTCAGAATGACTTGTACAAAAAGTACGAAACGTCTTCAAGAAAAATACAGCAAGTCCAGTTGCCTTGACTTATTTCTTTACAGATATGCCATGACCTGGATGAATGAGAACCTTCAGAGACGTATGTAATATGAGGGACTACCTAAATGTCAATTCAATTTGAATTCAATAACACTGGCTCTTGTCCATAGTTGGTTACATCTAAAGGGGAGTGTACAATCCATCTATAATCCGAATAAAAAAAAAAAATTTTATAATCATTGGTAGATGTAAACAATACCAGAAAGAGTGCAACCAGAGATTTCGAATTAAAGTTTTGTAACTGTAATTTAAAAAAAATGTTGTATCAGCCCACTTTTCATCTTGTGATTTCTCCTGTTAAGCAAATTATGATGTACAAATTGCTGTCAAAGCCATGGCTTCATTTGCTGAGTCATATAAAGGTGTAGGGTATATTATCCACAGTGTCTGATATTCTGTTTAAGCTGCTGAGGCTATAAATAGTAAATAATGATTCCCAGACTGTCGTAACGAAATAGCAATAACTTACATAATGGCAGAATCCACAGATAGGCATCTCAGTAGAAGACATAACTGAAGATCTTGATGAGGTTATACTCAGGATAGAATATACACTGTGATCAGTTCTGTAGGTCCTAATGGATATCTTAAGTATGCAGGGAGATGCCAGTACATGCTTTCAGGAGGATGGCTTCTTGGCTTCTAACTATAGTAGGGACAGTAATAAACGCAGGGTTTGAACTGCAAGGGCAGAGAAGGAACAAACTAGCTAAACCAGCAATCTCAGATGATGAAGAGCATAACACATAACTATGTGGGACATTTCTTCTTTCATAATTTGGATTACTGTATTGCAATCTGTGAAATACCAGAGAAGTAGTAGAATTAGTTTGTTGTTTCAAATGTCCCTTTAAGTACAGATATTCTGTTGATGAGATGCCCTGCTCTGTTGTTTACACGCATTACTGTTCTTTCACAGAAAGTTCTTCTTTTGATGAAGAGTACAAAGTGGCCTGTCTGTTGCAGGTGTATCTAGCAATATCTCTTCCTCTGTTGGCTTCTGATCCCATGTCGTTCTACAACATTGAAAATGATGGTAAGAAAGACTTTAAGTACACAATGACAATAGGACGGCTTTCTCTTTTTTATGCTTAACGACAGTATGCCATACGTCTTTAACCAGCACAGCAGAAATAACCTCTGGGCAGCACCCATTATGGCTGTAAATCAAGTCACCCTTGTACAGAGACAATATGAGTGGCTCCAGAGGCGTAACTAGAACCTTCAGGGCCCCGGTGCAAGAAACCATGAAGGCCCCCCCAACCCCACGGCACTGCATGGTTAACAGGAAGGCTGCCGAGGTCCCCAGCAAGCGTGGGACCTCAGGCAGCCGCTTGTTTAAAATTTTAGTGCCGGTGTTCTGTCGAGAACGCCGACCCAGTATCTGCGTTTACGTACAGACGTGATTAACGAGGAAACCGGCATTTATTTACAAAGTATTAATTTGTAATTGTTAATTATGACCATTAATGATATGCCGTCCATTGCAGGAAATGATGGATGGAATATTATTATCGGTCACAATTAATGATTTAAACAAAATACTTTGTGAATAAATCCCGGTTTCCTCGATAATATTGGTCTGTGTGTAAGCGCAGATGCTGAGATCGGCGTTCTCAACAGAACACCGGTATCTGCGTTTAGTATCGGGGCATTTTCACGAGTATGAATACTTGTGAAAATGCCCAGTATTGGCAGTGATGTATCCCTACTTAAAAATATAATGCATTGCTGGGACTTGTAGTCCTACATAGTTGGTGCTATTCTGCATTGCTGTATAATCATCATACAGCAATGCAGATTACCACCAGCTGTGCTGGACTACAAGTCCCAGCAACACACACACACACACTCTTTCTCTCTCTCTCTCTCTCTCTCTCCCTCTCTTCCCAGCACCCGCTCCCACTCCAAACTTACCTTACCTCTCCTGCAGGCCCATGGCCCTCTTCCTCGTCTCCGTGGCCATGGGGCGGAGCTAAGAGGAGACGTACCTCTTAGCTCCGCCCCTAAGAGGCGGGACCAGCAAATTCTCCAAGATCAGTGACAGCCTCTCTCCAGCCCTTTTGCACAGCTGCCCGTACATGCTGCGGGTGGCTGTGCGACAGGGAAGGAGCGGAACGATCGCGGGGGGGCCTCTACTTCCTTGCTGGCCCCCCCCCCAAGTGGCGGAACGCCAGGGCCCGGTCTCAATTGCGACCCTGGTAGTTCCGCCAGTGAGTGGCTCTGTACCATTGTATTTCTGTAATTGGTCATAGACAGACCAATCATAGCAATTACAGATGTAAACAGGGTAGTTTACATCTGTGAGGCCTCCCCTTCCTCTTACAATAGAAGAAGAGGAGAAAAGAGGAGCATATGAATGAATGAGTCATTCATTCATTTCAATTAGGGTAGAGGTCATCGCAGCAACTGCAAGTACATTTTAACGCTTTGCCCCTTCCCCTGATCTCCGAACTAACCCTTTACCTCCCTCATCCTGCACATCTGCACACCTCCCACTGTGTATGACTAGTATGCACTGTAGCTAGTGCACGATTACCATGTTCTATGTTTTAACCAGCTCAATACCAAAATGTTTCTTAGTTTACAAAAATTATTGTGTACTTTCCAAACATGGGTAATTTCAAAAGTGTCTGCAGTGTCCTGTTTTTTTTTTTTTAACAGAAAGTAAGGGAAACAGGTTTTATTCAAAATTGTGGGCCTTTTACCTCTATATAGTAAAACATAAAAAGGCCCGTGATTATTATACCACCAAAAGAAAACTCAGGAGTGGATATCTTCTCACTCTTTGCCCTTGTCACTAGACATGTAAGTGGCGGAAAAATTCGATCCGGTTCGGATATTTTGTTATTTCGTAATTCGGATTTGAAATCCAAATTTTGTTAGTTTCGGATGAATTTACCAATATTCGTTGCGAATACCACAGAAAACCATATACAGATATTAATACTAAAGCTGAATCTCCTAGACCCAAATGGCATTCGGTATCTGAACTTACGAATTGCATTTGGGAGCTCCCGAATGCCATTCGGATCTGGGAACCATATACATATATTACTAAAGCTGAGGCTCCCAGACCCGAATAGCATTCGGGAGGTCCTGAGTGCAATTTGGTAATTCGGATCCGAATGCCATTCAGGTCTAGGAGCTTCAGCTTTAGTATTGTATATATTGTATATAGCTCCCATGATGCCATAACGAAAATTTGTGTTCCCCAGACCCATTCGGATGCATTAAACCAAAAAACACATCTGATTGGCCAGAAGAGTCACATGTCTGATTCAGTTTAGTTTTTGAACGAAATCCGGACAGGATCCGAAATTCGGAAATGAATATCCAGATTCGGACACATTGGGATGCATTGAGATTAGGAGATTTGGATGTGTGCGAATGTCCGAATTTCATTATGAAACAAATTGCACATGTCTACTTGTCATCACACAGGAAGTGAGAGGAATTGTGTCCAACTATTAGTTACAATAGGTAATGTAAAAAAAAAATAACAATCACAGGCCATTGTGATATTTACTGTATGTGTATACATTTAAAAAAAGAAAGATCAATTTAGATAAAATAAGTAATATATCTCAGTAAACTGATCCTTTAAAGTTTGGTATGCTAATGTTTTTTCTTTACCATGAAAGCCCAGAGGAATATATGTTGGCTAAACTTATATTCAGCACATGTGTCTACTTTTTTAGGGTACAATAACAACAGCCACTGCCTGGCCAAAGCAATCATTCAGGTGTCTGCTGCATTCTTCACCATCTATCATAAGAACATAGAGACCCACCTCAAAGAGTTCTTGCTGGTAAGCAGATATCAAGGTATTTTATAAATATCACAATTTAGTTTATTCTACTATTTACAAGGTATATGTATAGGGTTTTTTTCCACTGAAAGAGGAGTACTTATGCATAGCAAAGCACTGGAAGCTTGCTTTGCATCATGGATACTGAGGCTTCTTTTCCTGGTGCAGGTCTATCAGCTATGTTATGCTTAAAGAGGAACTTTATCCACCAATGTAATGTCTCCAAAAACAGTCACTTTTAAGGCATGACAACTGTCAGGGTTGTTAGTGTACTTATCTAAGCTCTCAGCTGAACTTTTAAGCCCTCAAATGGCTGGTGTCATATCTGATCATTTTCAACCGCAATCCAAATAGAGGCTAAGATGGCACCTTACTTGGCTGTAAAAGACACAAAGTTGTAGTTCCGCTTTAACACAAGAGTGGGCACTCAAACTCATGGTGTATGATGGTCTCCACAGTGTAGGACAATGGGACACTCAGAACTTTCTTTTATATAAAGAGGCACAGTTTTTCCTAATATGTGTCTATGTAATCTGACCTTTTACTGTAAAATAACAATCTTGCATCATATATTTCCTTTAAGCAGACCCTTAATGATTTTATGGTTAGTTTCCATTTGGATGCAATAGTAGCAATCCCAAGGTGTGTATATATGTGTCTTTATTTTTCCACTATAATGACTGGGAGCTTCAAACCCGAGGACACTTTTTATGGAAGTGCTAACTGTGACATTAGTGCTTTGGTGTGCTTGCTTTCATCTATCTATTGGTCAGTCAGTTAAGGCCTGAACCCAATTGTGGTCAAATAGAGAGATGTTTATGTGTGTGTGTGTGTGTGTGTGTGTGTTGGGGGGTGGGGGTTGAAAGCCTTAACTTGCTAATTAGTATTTGCATAATAGAACTCTCTAAGTTTTGGTACTGTTACCCGAACAGTACCAAAACTTAGTTTATTAAGGTATATTGAAGTAACCAAGATTTTAATTTATAACTTTAGAATCACTATAGGTACATGTAACAATGAGGATAACAATTTACAGGCATGCATTGGGGTTGATTTATTAAAGGCAAATAGGCTGTTCATTTTGCATGGGAAGTTTCACCTTAGTTTAGTAAATGTGGGGAAGCTCTGCTGACTTCCATCATCCAATCACTTGCAAGCAAAAATACTGTTTTTTTTTATTTTCCTTGCTCATGATTGGGTATTATTCTTTGCAAAGTGAAATTTCACCACATTCACCAAGGAAAACTTCCCCTTCAAAGTTCAAATTCCCTTACAATGTTATCAGCCTATTTGCCTTTAGTAAATTAACCCCAGTGATTCTCCATGGAAAATATCATTATGGCCTTTGAGAATAATTGTGAACTTCTATGGAAATTTAGACATCAGGCAAGCCCTCCGCCTTAATATATAAATGTAACTTGGCAGTGTTCTTCTGTACTAGATTTACATATTCACCACATTTACTGTACCTGTTTACACATGGTTATACAACAACAAAATCTTTAAAAAAAGTAACAAAAAAAGTCCAGAACCTTCTAATTTGCATTGCTCACGTCTAAGCAACTTTCATAGGTTTGTTACCTTTCAGCAACCTTACTTATATTAATACCGTCTAGCTTCATGGACAAATTTGCACTGTCCTTCACTATATACCCTTTAATACTTTTATCGTCTCATTTACAAGACATCACTTTTTTTTTTGCATCCTGTCGTGACACCTGTAAATAATGTTTAAATTGAATAGAAAGCAATTAAAAGATGTAAGTAAAATGGACTATAACTAATTGCACAAAATTGGATTCCTGTACTGTATCTGAGAAAGAGATCAGAATGTAATTAATAGAGCTAGGAAAAAACCATGAAGCAATGCTACCTCGCTTTGTGAAAATTCCACTGATTAGAAAATGGCAGCTTTCTAAGATAAAACAGCAGTACATCAGCAAACGATGAATGCGAATGGCGTAAATGCTTTAAGTGAAATGTTAAATGAAAGGCTGGGACTGTTGCAGGCACTTCTATAAACAATTGCACACGAGGTAGACTAAATCAGGCAGAATAACATAGACCTACAAGTAAGGACAGCATTTCCACATTACACACGTCAACGCATACATATGTTATTATAGGAAATGCATTCCCATAAAAAATGCTGTCCAGGCTTTGCATCCCAGGTATGGTTACCCTGGATTTACATCACAATTAATCTATTATAAATATTAACTATGCTTAGTGTTAACATAATTAGTGTAGACAGATGAGGAAGTAAACTTCTGCTAGGCCTATAATTTGGGCCTTCAGCCTGCAAGATGGATTGGAGAGCAGTGGTGGTGTCGATGCTCATGTTCTATTTTAATACTACTTGTCAAATTTTCTCAGCGCGGCATAATTATCCATACTCTATATATTATCTGACACATTGTATTAATATTTAAAATTCTGCAGGCAGAGATAGAGAACACACCAGTTATTACCCGCTGTAAAATTAGAAGCCATTTCTTGTGGAACAAGAGTAAAATAAAGAACTGACAAGAAACTAACAAGTTTTCCATTGGAGTTTATTAAGGAAAAGCCAGAAGTCAATTTATCACCTATGTTTTTATTAACATTTATTTTACAAATAACAATATTTGCAACTAGTCACTTTGCTTTTTAAAGGTATATCTACTTTGATGTATACTGGTTCTAATGGGCAAATCCTCATTAAGTGATATAAAAAATATCTTCATGGACAACTGATACCCTGAAAGGACTTGTGAACTTGTCCTTTAATAAATTCCACTTCCATATCTCCCAAGAGCAGCTTAATGTGTTAAATACTTACCTTCCGCTCTGTTACAGATATCTCTATTGTGAGGTCCTGCTGGGTGTCACACAGCCGTTCTTCTTAAAAGGTCCATGTTGGGTCCTCTACATAGCGTGCATGCACACTGGAGCCCCCTTAGTTCCTATACGTGACCCATATTCCAGCCATCCTCCAAAATACAGCCTTTCTATAGGAACAAATGGGGCCACCACAGTGCTTCACTGTTGAAGGACAAGTTTAAGCTCTGCTGCTCTTACTGTTATTCTCACTTCCATACTATCCAGCTGTGAAAGAACACCTCTATATCTCCTATATCTAAGTTTGGAGACTTACAGGGTTATTCACAAAAGGGTGACGGGTTTGGAGAAGGCAGGAGAAGCGAACAATCTAGGACAACATAGCTGATTTGGAAAATTTCTCCAATTCAGCTCACTTTCCAGTTAAGCTATGTTGTCCTAGATTGTTCACTTCTCCTGCCTTCTCCAAACTCTCCAAACTCTTCACCTTTTTGTGAATAACCCTGTTAGACTTAATTTTGGGAGAGCAGAGATTTGCTGCAACTCAGGAGTAAATAACATGAATGATAACATGACCTCTCTGTTGTGGTATGTGAGGCTTCTAAAGCATACATCTGTGACCAATACCAAACTGGACAACATCTGTAAGGATTATAGCATGCAAGTTGACTGGAAACTCAAATTAAATATTTGAAAGTGTTATTTGTTGCATACTCAAATGCCCAAACACATAGAGCTATGCAGTTAGCCTCCCATGAACTCCTATTACATACATATAGGTATAACCAAAATTAAACCCCCTAAACAATTTGGATTTTTGAGCAGGGAGAAACAAATGGCTTCCCTTCTGGCCTGGTTGATGCGAGACCAGCGGCACTGTGTGAGTATACATACATCAGGTATTTCCCTGACTGATCCAGTGTCTATTATTGAATCATTTGCGGAATACTATTGTACCTTTCACTCTTCTAGAGCTATGTATTCCACTGCGGAATTAATTACCTACCTTCATCAAATATCTTTTCCTGAATTATCGCCCCAAGCCCGATCTCCCTAACCAAGATGGAGAACACTAGTGGAATCAGCTTTCCCTATGTGTAAACATACTTAGTTTAGTGAAAATTTCCCTATTTAATTTGATAAAATATGGTCTGGTTGGCTAGCCTAAAAAAAAAATATCAAACCTTAATTTTATATACATTATGTGAATGTCTGCAAATTGATCTGTATGCTATTGTGATACTGTGCATCTCTAGCTTACTTTATGAAAAGTCCCCTAATGTACACTATTGTAAAGTGCTGATTTACATGATTGTATAACCATTGCTCTGTACTTGTGAAGTCAGAGATCTAATAAAGTGACCTGTTTTTAAAAAAAAATCCCTTTATAAATCCTTTAAATCTAGCAGTCTTCTGGTCGGTCATGTAAAATTCCAGGGTCCTGCACGGACTTGGCATGGCAGCATGGTTCTTTGCAGTATTGTAGTGTGAACCCAAGCTTATGTAAATGATGCACTTCCAAGGGGGTAGCCATGACAGCCAGGGTTCAAAGGAAGTGGGTTGAATGATGATGGCCGCCATTCCACCTGGATGAGGACCAGCGGCCAATGTCAGGGTGAACTTTTTGTGGGGGATAGAGTCAGAGAGAAAGTAAGTATTGCAGTAAAGGCTGCATTCTTTATTTTTTAAAATTCAAGACAATTATATTGAAAAACATTTGGCAACTGTAGCTCTGCTATTTGCTCCTTATGATATCCTATCAAGTATATAGTGATAAGTGATGTGCAAAACCTCCCAAGTAAGCTTATCCTCCATCCATACGAGGTAGTGAATTATGTAATTGACAGTTGAAAAGACCAATACACAGTCCTTAAGTTTCTAAGGTTACGTGGCCTGGACTTCTCCAGCAATCTGTTGCAATCTCAGTTGCAAGGAGTGAAATGTTTACAACCACATGGCACCCTGCAGCTCTACTAATCCCAAACAGTGTAAATAAGGGAAATCCCCCTCCACCTGGCCATTGTATTCTGATAGCGACAGGTGTGCTTCTGTCAGGATACCCAAACAGTGATAGCAGCTGATTGTTAAACAGAAGGGTACCAATGGAGCCAAACACTGCTTGAATTTCAACTAAATCAGCAGTACTTGGCCACAATTTGAGAAGCATATAGCTAGTTTTA